CGCGCAAACTCCTGGCCGGCGGATTCCACATCTAATGTGGAATCCGCCGCCCTCCTCCTCCACCTCCTACCTCCTCCTCCTCCCTCTGCCTCCTCCTCCTCCTCCTCCTCCTCCTCCTCCTCCTCCTCCTCCTCCTCATCATCATCATCATCAGCATCATCATCATCGTCATCAGCATCAGCATCATCAGCATCGTCGTCATCATCAGCATCATCATCAGCATCATCAGCATCAGCTTCATCATACTCAGCATCAGCAGCAGCAGCAGCAGCATCGGCATCAGCACAATCATCATCAGCAGCAGCAGCAGCAGCAGCATCATCGTCATCGTCATCGTCATCGTCATCGTCATCATGACCACTCCCTTCTCTTCCTCCTCCACCTCCTCGTCCTCCTCCTCCTCCTTCGTCGCCTCCTCCGCCTTCTCGGTCGGTCGGTCGATGGCGAGCAGGAGCGTCGAAGGTCATACGCAGAACAGGATGGAGAACGCAGATGGAATGGGCAGAGAGAAGGCAACAGCAAACACAGTGAAGCGCTGCAGTCGCGCAAAAGCGCGCACCACATATGATGAGTTAGAAGCCTGGACTACTGCCCAAGGGGCATAGAGAGGGTAAAGGCATGTGTGTGAAGTGTGGCGGTCAAGTGGGAAACCTTCGTTCAGGCGCGGTGCTGGTACTGTCAAAGACGAGCTGCGAAAATCGCAGAACCAAGACATTATTGTTTTTAGTGAACGGACACTATGGCGGCGGCCTTGACCGCAGCATTACCTTCACCCCTCGGCCTTTCCCGTGCACCACTCGCCCTGAACAGCAGCCCCGAGATGAGAGGGGAGGAGGGGGAGGTAAGGTTAGGTTTGGCACCAGGGTCCTCGCGGCACGACACAGAAGCAGTGAAAGGATTATGACCGATTCCATGTCGTGGTGTGTAACATACAATCCATGGCCGCTTGGGCGGTCGTGTAGGGATCGCTGGCAGGGTAATACCTCCTGAGCCCTGTCGGAAGTGACCAGTCGTCGCTTGCTGACTCGAGGTCTGGAGACCGTCTGAGGCAAGCTGCTCGAGCCGGCGTCCAGCGCATTCCACCAGGCGAGAGGGGTGCAAACGAACCAGGGGGAATCGAACTGTCCTCTCGACTGTCCGGTGAATCTCTGGATCTCGATCCCTGGCCTCCAGAAGCAAGGAAGAGGCCGTAGCCTTGCACAACCCTGACGGGTAGGCATTCGCGGCCGCCGCCGCCCACACGTCAGCCAGGGTGAGGACTCGGGTGATTACACAAAGGGCCCCCCCTCCATGGATTCGAAGAGTCTGTCCATAGCCCGAACGTGCACCACATCAAAACCGTGGGGTTGAGGACCGTTGGTTTGGGTCCTCATCCTCCTCCTTCTCCTCCTCCCCGTCCCCCTCCCCGTCCTCCTCCTCGTCCTCCTCCTCCTCCTCCACTTCTTCTCCTTATACACGACTCCTCCCTGTCGCACCCCGAGGCCGGTCGAAAGGGCGGGCCAGGCGTTTCGCCTAAGACATCTTCACCATTTATGATTTTGAAGTTTAAACAGTGGCAGCGACGTCACAAATGGAGGACGGGCGGTGTTCAGAATATGGCTCTCGCCTTAGCGCCGCACGCATTCGTCTTCAAAACGTTATAAGAGCTTCACGGACTATGGGCGGGCGCTTTTCAAAATGTTGTTCTCGCTTTAGCGCCGCGCACATTCATGTTTACAAAGTTGCAAGAGCTTCACGGATTGAGGCGGGCGGTTTTCAAAATGTGGGTCTCGCCTAGGCGCCGCGCACATTCGTGTTTCAAACATTTGCAAGAGCTTCACGGATTGAAGGCGGGTGGTTTTCAAAATATGGTTTTCGTTTTAGCCCCGCGCACACTCGTGTTTCAAGACGTTGCAATAGTTTCACGGATTCAAGGGGGGCGGGCGGTTTTCAAAATGTGGTTCTCGCTTTAGCGCCGCGCACATTCATGTTTACAAAGTTGAAAGAGATCCACGGATTGAGGCGGGCGGTTTTCAACATGTGGGCCTCGCCTAGGCGCCGCACACATTCGTGTTTCAAACAATTGCGGGAGTTTGACGGAATCCCATGGTCAACGTGCAAGACAGTGTTTCGGGAAGGACTCTGGATTGCGAAGGTGCAGCAGTTACGTTGGTTCGCGGTGTTGGAGTTCCAGGAACGGTGTTCCGACACGATTCAGGATCGTCAGAACAGAACAGTCAGGTGGACCCGTTGCGCTGGAGTCCCGAGAATGGTGCTTTGGCATGCTCCAGGGTCCTCAGACGGCTGCCTCCCAAACATCGTTGATGAGTATGGGGTCACATTGACCCTCCTCCTCCTCCTCTTCCTCCTTCTCCTCCTCCTTCTCCTCCTCCTCCCCCTCCTTCAGCCCCCCTCCCCTCCCCCTTCCTCCAGCCTCCTCCTCCTCCTCCTCCTCGCCTCCTCCTCCCCCTATTCCTCTCCTCCTCCTCCCCTCCTCCTCCTCCTCCTCTCTCTCCACCTCCTCCTCCACCTCCTCCTCCAACCTCCTCCTCCCCCTCCACAGCCTCCCTCCTCCTCCCCCTCCTCCTCTCCTCCTCCTCCTCCTACACACACCTAGTCCTTCCCACCCCCTCTTCCACCCGTCCTCCTCCTCCTCCTCCTCCTCCTCCTCCTCCACCTCCTCCCTCCTCCTCCTCCTCCTCCTCCTCCTCCTCCGCCTCGCCTCCGCCTCCGCCTCCTCCTCCTCCCCTCCTCCTCCTCCTCCTCCTCCTCCTCCTCCTCCACCTCCTCCTCCACCTCTTCTCCTCCTCCTCCTCCTCCTCCTATTGGCCGAGGGCACCCTGCACGGCCCGCGGGCGGTCCCGCGGCGGGCCCTTCCTGGGACGCCCCGGGCGTGCCCGCCGCGGGGGCCGCGGCATGGGCAACAGGCTCGGCCAGGCTTGCGTGCGGCAGTACCGCGGCGCGCTCGCGCTCTGCCTGGACGACGGCCAGCGGGCCAGGCCCCGGAAGAGGAGGAGGGAGGGAGGGAGGCGCTTGACGCGTCAGGCGAGGAGGCGCCCTGCAGCTTGCCTGAAAGAAAAAGGGGAGGGAGCGAGGGAGGGAGCGAGGGAGGGAGGGAGGGAGGGAGCGAGGGAGGGAGGGAGGGAGGGAGGAGGAGGAGGAAGAGGAGGAGGAGGGCCCCGGGACCGGCAGAATGGGCTCGGGATCAAAAGCTGGTCCTGGGAAAGGGCTGTAGACATCCGGGGGTCCACGTTGTGAAAAGCACAACGTCGAAGTCTTGAGGAGGGAGTGGAAGAGGAGGAAGAGGAGGAGGAGGAGGAGGAGGAGGAAGGAAAAGAAGAGGGTGGAGGGAGGAGGGAGGAGGAAGGAGGGAGGAGGAGGAGGAGGACGACGAAGAAGGAGGGGGACGGAGGAGGAGGAGGAGGGAGCAGGGAGGAACTAGGAGGGAGGAGGAGGAAAAGGCGGGAGGAGAGAGGAGGAGAGAAGAAGGAAGAGGGAGGAGAAGGAGGAGGAGGAGGAAAGAGGGAGGAGGGCGGTCGGAGAAGGGAGGAGGAGGAGGAGGAGGAGGAGGAGGAGGAGAAGGAAGGAATAATGCCCAAATGCGGCAGCAGGAGCGGCACCAGCAACAGCCGGAGCGACTCCTCCTTTTCTTTCCGTCGCAGCTTTTTGTTTCTAGCCATCTCAGTTATTGGCGAGGCATTTTTGTTTCTAGACATATTCAGGGCATGCACCGCCTAAGGCCATAGAGAACGCTTCTCGGACGCTGAAGGTAGTTCTTCGATTATATGGCCGCTGAACTAGCATGGTTCGCTCTTGGGTGCGTTGGGAAGAATAAGAAGAACAAAAAAACACGGCATCGAGCAGAGTGGTGCTAATGTTTCTCTTATCTCATGTCCAGCAGTGCCGTGGTGGGGGGAAGCAGCGATTGGTATGTCAGCATGTGTA